ATGACTGCTATTAGTAAAGCCCTTTCCACACTCCACACACTTATATGGCTTCTCCCCTGTGTGGATCCTTTTATGGGAAGTAAGATGACTGCTATTAGTAAAGCCCTTTCCACACTCCACACACTTATATGGCTTCTCCCCTGTGTGGATCCTTTTATGGGGAGGAAGGTGAATGCTATGAGTAAAGGTCTTTCCACACTCTCTGCATTTATATGGCTTCTCTCCTGTGTGGATCCTTTTATGTTTCATAAGGGATGCATTTTCACAGAAGCCCTTTCCACAATCCATGCATTTATACGGCTTTTCCCCTGTATGGATCCTTTTATGGGCATTAAGATTACCCTTCTGAGTAAAGTTCTTTCCACACTCCATGCACTTATATGGCTTCTCCCCTGTGTGGATCCCTTTATGGGAAGTAAGGTGACTGCTATGAGTAAAGGGCTTTCCACACTCTCTGCATTTATATGGCTTCTCTCCTGTGTGGATCCTTTTATGTTTCATAAGGGATGCATTTTCACAGAAGCCCTTTCCACAATCCATGCATTTATACGGCTTTTCCCCTGTATGGATCCTTTTATGGGCATTAAGATTACCCTTCTGAGTAAAGTTCTTTCCACACTCCATGCACTTATATGGCTTCTCCCCTGTATGGATCCAGTTATGGGAAGTAAGCTGACTCCTTCTTCTGAAGGTCTTTCCACATTCCATGCATTTATATGACTTCTCTTCTGTGTGGATCTTTTTATGAGATATAAGGGACCCATTTTCATGAGAAAGAGTGAAAGTCCAATTATAATTCTTTCCATTGGCTCTGCATATATCATCTTCTCCTTTGGTTTGGACATTTACATCTAATTCGTTTTTTAATTGTCTTACACTTGTCCCAAAATATGTTTTCTTGATTTTTCTTTGTTGGGCAAGAAAGTCTTGCATCTGAGCATCAATGGAAGATGAGATTTCCTTATGCCAATTATTTGACTGGTTTCTCTCATGATTTTGTAGTTCCATTTGAATTGCAGGCTTCTCTGTTCCATCTCCATGCTCAATCATTTGGAATGGTTCACTAGAATCTTTATTCTCCTGCCCATTATTACCTTCAGAGGAAAAATGAAAAGAATAGCAAGGTTAGGGGGAAAAAAATCAAACTATAGGAAGTTCTATATTCATGAGCCATAAAAGCTTTGAAAATACCTAAAGCATCCTTTTTGTTTAGAATTATCGTTATATATTCCAATCTAAGCAACTCAGCTTTGAGTTAAGAAAGAATCGGGAAACATCCAAGGATTTTTCTTGCGAAAACCTAACATTTATTGGAGAGGGGTAAATCAATGTTGAAAGTCATCCTTTTCTTCCTACCCAAACCACCTTCCATTTGCTATTAATTTTTCTCTTGCCAAAATCACATGGTGGCAGAGAAAAAAAGAAAAGAAAAACTAGAGTTCTTCTATTAACCCTAAACATCATGTTTGCAATGGAAAAGCAGCACCATTTCATCCCTAATCCCAAGGCTCAGGATAGATATGAAAAGGAAGAAAAGTCATTAACCCAAGAACCTGAATAAATGGCAATCCTTCATAGGACAGATACGGAAGCATCTGGGCCCAAAAAGCTGAAATCTGTGTGATCGAGTTGAGCATCTCCTCAAGCCAAGGAGTGAGTTTGTCACTGATACGTTGAAACAGAAATGGAAAAATTCACCAGATGAGAAATGCCACAGGATGCATCTAAGCAGAGAGCCATTGACCTATTTCCTTCCTCGGATCAGGAGAAAGCCAGATCTTTTCCTTCTCCCTCCCAGGAGATGACATCTGGTTGAAGATTTTTAATAAGAAATAGCTGAAGGCAGCTAAAGAGGGCCAAAACCTGATGTTACCAAAAAACTACTGGCCAATATCATTACTGAACAAGGATTACAAGTTGTTTACAATGATTCTGGATGGAAGGATGCAAATAGCTTTGCAAGAATTTATTCATGAAGATCAATGTGGGGTTTTACCTAAAAGACAATGAAGAGAAACGTTTTGGAGATTTTGGAATACTTAGAGCAACATAATGAAAAAAAAGCTGCACTGATCTTACATGCAGAGAAGGCCTTTGTCAATTTGAACTGGACTTTCTTATTTAAAATTTTGGAAGATATGGACTTTGGAGAGAATTGTATTAAATGGGTGAAATTGATCTATATTTTGCTAAAAGCACAAATAATTGTTAATGAAGAATTAACAAAACCTTGTGAGATACAAAAAGGGACAAGACAAGGATGCCCTTAGTCTCTGCTGCTGAGGGTATTTGCTGAGGATTTGGTGGTAATTTTGGAAGATCCTTTGGAGGGAATACAAATATTAATGGAAAAAGTAAAGGAATTTGGTATTTTAGTGAGTTTTAAGATTAATAATCAAAAGACAAAGATGTTAAAAATATAAAAATGGATGATCAAATAGAATTGATGGGAAAAACTGGTTTTAAGACTGAGAAAAAAGTAAAATATTTGGGTATTACTATGACCAATATGAACTGTATGTTATTTCAAAATAATTCTGTTAAGACATGGAATGAAATTAAGAAGGATATATTAAGATGGGAGAAATTACAATTGTCATTTTTGGGGAAAATTTTTGAGATAAAAATGAATGTTTTCCTAGAATGATGTGTTTTTGTTTCAAACAATACCTGTTTTGACAATTGATGTATCATTTAAGCAATGGCAGAAGCATTGATCTAGGTTTGTATGGAAAGGCAAAAAGCCAGAGATTACATATAAAATTCTCCAAGATGCAAAGGAAAGAGGAGGATTGGGTCTGCCCAATTTGAAACTGTATTTTGCAGCCTGCTGTTTGGTTTGAATGAAAGAATGGTGTTGCTGAGAAATAACAGAATTTTAGAATGATGTTAGAAGTGCCATATTGAGAATATGGAACAGATACAAACCCAGACTGTGCCTGAAAACACCTTTATGGCTTTCAGCACGAGAAGCATTTTACAGAAGAGAAGCAACAGGGAAAGACAAAGGGATAAGATGTTGAGAGCTATTAGAACATGAGCAAGGGGAATACCAAATGAAGTCAAGAGAGCAATTGATGGCAGAGGAATATGGTTGTCAATGGTTTTCATACTGAAAGATATCAGAAAGATTCAAGGTAGATAAAAGGACCTATGGTATTAAACAACATAAGACAGAATTTGAACCTGAATTATGTACAAAGGATGAACATGTAATTGTTAAAATGTATAAATAGGTTAAAGAAAGTATGACCAAATGGGCCAAGAATTTTGGTCATAATATATACAGATGGAATAATGGGAAAATATGGAGGAGAAAGGATTGAAATTTACATTATGTTATAATCTAAAAGAGAACTTTTATAAAATGATGTACTGTTGGTATAGGACACGAGAAAAATTATCAAAAATGTATGAAAGTCCTTCAAATTTATATTGGAAACGTGGACAACATGGAGGGTCATGTTGTCATTTTTGGTGTAAAAAAGCTGGAAGGTATTGGATTACAATTCATACAATGATCCCCAGAATTTTAAACATCAATATCCAGCTGAAACCAGAATGCTTTTGGTTGAGACTCATGGACAGAGAGTCATGGAAGATTGTTTTTGTGTATGATAACCACAATGAGACTATTATATGCACAAAGGATTCTGAAATACCTACAATGGAGGAATAGTTGGTGAAGATGGTAGAATTCGCAGAGATGACTTGTTTGATTAGAGGAAGGACAATATCTACATTTATTAGTGACTGGAAACCCCTGATGAACCTTTTGATGAAAAAAGAAAAAATGATCTTGTGATTTATGGGTTTGAAGATTAGAAAGGATAAAGGATAAAGGATCCATAAAGGATTATGGAAAGAAAGAAATTATAATGTAACCTTAGAGAAGCTAAAATAGAACAGCATTTATAACTGCTGTTATGAAGATTAGAATCCACTTCTTTATTACTTTTCTTTTTCCCTTTTCTCCATATTTC